ACCGATGTAAATTAAGATAATGTACATTCTTGTTGTTGTGTAGTTGCCTCCCTTTCTTGCGTTCTTCGTTGGGGAAACATCACGTTCGGATCACTTGAGATGACCTATGGCGACTACAGCTCAAGTTGAACGCATGAATAATAATAATAATAATAATAATAATAATAATAATAATAATAATAATAATATTGACAGGAAGATGATGAATGTAAGCATGTTTAAACGCCCGCAGAAAATAAGAGAAGAGGAGAAACAACAATTACCTTCTGGAAGTGTTGCTGCGTGATTTGCTATAATCAAGCACTTCGGTTATTGCTGTCACTTTTTAAAAATAATTACAATAACTTTACATCTGTGAGACGGTAATTGTTTCACACGAAACATGAAATGTTTGATCAAAAATGCGTATATGCTTTTTGCTCCACAATAATTCATATCCAGTGGGCCGCATTAACGGTACCGTCGAATCATTAGCGCCCAGTGATGGCGCACTCGTTCTCCGGCGCGGGCCCTTTTGTTCTCAGCGTACAGAACGCTCGTGTGCAAAGAGCGCGAAATGTGGGCCCGAAGCTCGTTCCCGAACGCACTCTCTGCAGCACCAGCGATCAACAGCCGCTGGGGCTTATGCGTTCTGGCCTGGATGGCCAAAGGATTTGTTAAGCAAAAAGCCCCGACCCGATAAGAGGGGGGGGGGGATCTGCCTAATTCAATCGGGGGAATAAGCGGACGATGGGGCGACCTCGCGTGCGGGTGGAAGGAACCTGCGCGAAATCGAATGCAGCGCGTGAGGCGTGAAGCGGCGCCGACGCGGCGTCGGGCTGGCGGCACGCTCCTAAGCGCATGCCCTCACATCCGAGCCTGATCGCTCGCTCTCTGTAAGGGGAGAAATATTAATAAGTAAATGAAAAAACAGCCCCAACAGCATTCGCCTGCTCCTCCCGGCTCGAAGCGCTGGGTGCGAGGCTACACGTAGCCTGGAAAGCAGCGGGCTCACTGCGTGCGCGCCCTCTGGGCGGCCACACCCCGTCACGTGACACCTCCCTCCCCCTGGCGGGAGCCCCGCTAACTAGCGGGCTTTTGGTTTCTGCTCTCGGCACTCTTGTTTTTGTCCGGACGTTTCGACCACACTCAATTTCCGGGAAACCTGCCAACTGCGAATGCTCCGGCGGGTTGTCCAATCCCCTTTCGCGCACCTATTACTTTTCCCCAGAAAGGGGAGCGCGTCTCCACAGTGCTGGTGCGTGCGTGCGCCGCTGCCGGCGAGCGGCTTATTAGAAAGCGCCCGTGGCCAGGCGCATTCGAAACGGCCTGGCTGTGTCTGTGGCGCGAGCACAGTCCTGTACCTCCTCCCCCTTTGGACACGGGCCGCCGGGGCCGGCGTCACGGAAGAGTGCCATAGGTCGCCGCCATGGCCCCGCTGCTGGGCAGACTAACGCCATGACTACCCTATGAGCGAGGCCTCTGAATATACGGAAAGGAAACGGTGTGCTGAGTCCACCTATACGTATTCGTTTCAAAGAGCTACTTGTCATTAACCGTTCACGTGAACTTTTAATATCTTATGAATGTGTGAGGATGTAGGGATATTACTTTGGCGGTGTCATTTTCCTAATGTTCAAATAGATTGATTGTGAAGTAACCTCGCAAGACATCTAAAAAGGTTGTTGCGCCAGCTGTTCAGTGTGACGCAACTCATTAATTAAAGCTCTATGAATGAGAGCTGATGCGTAGGTTCATTGCCAACGTCGTACAATCAGAAAACACTAGTTGCACAGAGTCATGCATATGGATAAGCCGGAATTATTTGGTCATCATCACGGTCAGCCTGACTACGTCCACTGAGGACAAAAGGCCTCTCCCATGATCCGCCAGTCAACTTGGTCCTGTGGTTTTTGATCATCAATAAGATCTTAATTGCGGAAGGGAAAGATTTTTCATCTAGCCACTTTATCAAACGCGGGAGTTCATGTGCGCTTTTTTGCAAAGCTAGTCCACACTTACCAGACGTTTCGATTGGGCCACGCCTGAATTTTGACGCATTCTATGATTTCTAGAAGTCGTATACTGCTTCATGCATTTGTCTCGCCGAACGTCAACTGTGTTACGCTAACGCCAGCCACGCAGGTGTCAGTAAACATTATGCAGTACTTCATCGAGTGAGCTCCCTACTTTTTTTTTGTTATTTTGTCTATGGAGAAGTTTATCTTCCCGATAAACCCACAACAATGTCTAGAAACATGAGTGGGGGTAAATATCTGTTTCCTAACACTTTTCTTCCACCTCTCTCGGAATTTCTCCGAACTGACTTGTCATCTTGCCATTTGCAATAAAAAAAAAGCTTGACGTATTTTGTTTATCGGATAAATCGATGATTGATTGATTGATTTGTAGAGTTTAACGTCCCAAAACCACGATATGATTATGAGAGACGCCGTAGTGGAGGGCTCCGGAAATTTTGACCACCTGGGGTTCTTTAATGTGCACCCAAATCTGAGCACACGGGCCTACAACATTTCCGCCTCCATCGGAAATGCAGCCGCTGCAGCCGGGATGCGATTCCACGTTATCGTGTAAGCTTGGACAAGTTCTATCTTGTGGTGGGTAGAACTTGGGCAATGTCTACCCTCGAGGTGGCAACAAGTCAGTGGTGTTTAGTTGGAACGTGGTCGCTGCTGTAAGATGTTCACTTAGGTAGAAATCCACGTACAAAAATATTCCGTACTTCAGAAACAGATTCAAATAACATGACCTTTTTATTCCAAATTTATTCTCTGTTTCACATTGTGATTTCATCTATTCATGCCCTGCTATCACTATACCCGAACTCTCCGCATGCTAATATTAAGGTTAGGTTAGGTTAGGTTGGGTTAGGTTAGGTCGGAAATAATTCTGCGTTTTACTATCTTTTGGATGTCGCAATTCTGATTATGTGATGAAATATTCTTTACTGTTCGTTCATGTTTTTTTTTCATGATGAAAGACGTTGTTTTCCGTTATCTACATTGGACGTGCCCTGGTATAAATATAGTCAGCGAGAATGCACTCAGAGATGGTAATTACTCGCCAACCTAACGCATATGAATAAAAGCTCGTGGACAATGCATCTTGCTGTTGCAGCATCTGCATAAAGCGGGCCCCTATGCTTACATATAACTCTAGACCCGTATTATCTTGCGTGGCAACCAAGACAATAAAGAAAAACCCTGCAGTGCCGGTTTTACGATGAATCACGACATTATTGCGAGTAGCATTGAAGCAACGTAGTGAGGCGTCGTGCTACCAACAGCGAAACGAGTCATGCATGATGTGTGTATGGCAGCCGCATTCCTCTTTCCCACATCCCCCTAGACACGCTCACCCATCTAGCGGCGTAACCACATAGTCAGCTCGTAGTGTGTGTCTTTATATATAACCTGACATTATTGAATCACTTGGAAAAATGCCAACCACCTGGTATACTTTAAAGTATTTAGTTTTTAGAATTTGAAGGTCGGATTTATCTACTGGCACATAAGCAGCAGTGACCCTAGATGGCTATTAATCTTCATCGTATAGCAGCACATACACCAACTACAAGTTAGGCTAAGGAAATAGGTGCATAACCAGGGTTCATTAAATAGCTAGCGATATTTACTTTCGCATACTTAGTTTCACAACCCCGTGCAGTGAATGTTTTTCAATAACGGTTACTTTACCAACCTTGACTTCCGAGGAAAACATGATGGCAAGAAACGGTCGAGGATATTTTGGAACATTCGAAAAGGGAATCACGAGGGAATTGACAAAATATTATCAAACAGCTTGAAATGAGCGTAGAAAAGCCTTTTAAAACCAAGCTAAAATACTCGGTGTTAGACTGAAAGAGCATGGCTGGAAAAAGAGAGGGGATGGGCAATCGTACGCACCATTTGTAGAAGCTGCAGGAGAAAATAGTAGTGTTTTTTTTTTTTATTTAAGCGTGGAGGGGGAGATGAAACTACTCAAGTATTCGACAGGATGGCGTCATACTCTAAAGTCAGAGGCAGAAGGACCGACTCCCACTGGTGTCGTGGCTTCTTTCCTTCCGTTTTAGTTATTATTTTCTTCGCTCTGGGGACGGTTAGGCTTCATTGGCTATTCGGTTCTTCAGTAAGCAGTGCATAGTTCATGCAATAGCGTGAGCAGTGGGCATACTTCCAATCAGTATAACTAGCTCTCTGGCGTTACTGCGTGAGTACCGAATGTGTATTTTTTTTGGGGGGGGGGGGCGATATAATAGGCTTGACAATTACTGAGAACGTTAGGTGCTCTTGATATAATAGCTCAAGCGAAACCCAATCTAAGACAGTGCTTTTGTCTTACTAGCTCACAGCAAAAAATAATACCACATTTTCACTGCTTTCTAAAAATTACGTGTTTGCTTTAATTCACAATAGCGGAAACATGCTGTTGGTATGGAAGTGACTTTGCCTCTGCAGAATTGGAGTCATTCCAAATGGGAAGTACGCAAGAATGTAAAATTGGATGCAAAGTTCCTGGACACATGAATCGCGCTGAAGTTGTACATTCACGAAGCCTGTTTACACAGCCATGAATTCACAGCTTGAATGCATCGCAGACTTTGTAATTGCAACGCAGTTGTATATGTATTTAGATTTGAAGCACCCTGCCTTCACAGAGCATGAATGCTCATTGCAGTTTGAATTCCTGTCTTGCAAACATTTGTGGTGGACACCGCACAGTGCATGCGGCATGCCAACAATTGCTGTGTAGAGTAAGACGCAACTTTGAGTCGTGGCTTATGAGCAGCTGAGCTTCATCTACATCTAACTGAACAAACTGCCTTATTTTCTTCACTAAAAGTGACCACAAAATTTCTCCTATCACCCCAAGCCATTTGAGCTTATCGTGGACATTAACACACGTCACGACAGAGAAAGGTGAAGTTGATCACGTTGATGGGACATGTTCTTCATTTTCAAGTTATCACTAATGATTATTTACTCTCTGTTTTCTTGCAGAATTATTCATGACAGTGGCTTCACGCAGGAAGACTTCAAGCAGTACAAACCAGTGGTGTACAGCAACACCATACAGTCCATGGTGGCCATCCTCAGAGCCATGCCAAACCTGGGCATTAGCTTCGGAAACAACGAAAGAGAAGTACGATGTTTTCTATTACCCAGTTACTGTGTGATTGCCGAACGCTTCTTGTGTACTTTGAGTTCACTTACGGTGCGGAGGACGTCACAGCAATTTCGCACATGGTGCCCACCTTGAGGGAAGGTATACGACACCCACAAAGTAGTATTCTACCCGAGCAGTCGCACGAGCGAGCGCTGTTTGCCCTACGAGTGCAGGTAGAGATGGGTGTCACTTGAAGTTACAATATTATATGCTTGGTGTCATACCCGTTATATCTGGCCATGTTCCCGCAGTGGCAAAGTAGACCTCAAGCATTTCACTGTAGAACATGATGAAATTGTCGTGCCTACTTCCATTCACGAGAGTGACCTTCCTACCTGAAATAACTTTGATGAGTGTCAAAGAAGCCCAGTTCTTATATAGAACAGTCACTAGCCGCACTCACTTAAACAGGCTTGAGGCACCTGTGACGTCCACATCTTGGCGTCTTCCAATTATATTCTTATTTTTCCTATAACTCTGAAGCTTTTCAAAGTCCTATAGTAAGCCACGGAGATTTTTTTTTTGTTTTCCTCTTTTGAAGTTGGCCATGCCATCATCCATTTCAAAGTGCTCGACTACAGATCTGAAGGTATCTTTTTTTCTCTTCTAGGGACTGCTGGTGAATTGCTATAGGTTGCTACAACTATAATTATGTTTTTTGTCACAATTACCTGCAGAAGATGACATCCCTTTGCACGTGACCTCCTTTGAGTATGGGGATCCCGATGTTTACAGCGTTAACAACCTGAGGTCTAAAACCGGAGCTTTTTCATCATTATGTCAGCAAGTCCCCATATCCTATTTCCACTTCGTTCAGCTGTTCTGGACTAGAACAAAAACAACAACGTGAAATGAGACAAATAATAACAAATGACTGAAAGGGCACAAAAAAAGCAGTAATTTGAAGGGTTGCATGCCTGTTTCAATTCTACATATGCTTCTCTGAAGTGTCGACGTGCTCGAATACTACGAAAAGGGAGCGCGCTCTTTCTCATGTTCCTTCTTGTTTTACACGCTACCTCCATCCACAACGCTTTTGTGTCATCGGCATCTAACTATTGCGGCACCCTGTTCTCGCCGGTTTTTCCTGGCCTTCAAGTGGAACGAGAACGGGCAAAAGGATGCAGGGAATGCTAGTAGCGGAAAAGTGTTTTGCGGACGACAGTTCGAGTGGGAGAGGAAAACGGCATCGCCATGTCGGTGCAGAGTACACAACAGCGCTTCTTATCCTCTTCAAAGTGTTCCCGCCGATCGATGCGTGCTGCCAGCACCCAGATGGGCGCGCTGCGCCGCGGCTGCAACCAGGCTGTGCTTCGCTTCACTTTCTTACGTTGTTGTTACTGCTGATTTTGACTTGCCGTCATTTTCTCCGCAATTCTCAGGTTTGCTAGTGTGGAATTTGAGTTCCTGCAGTTGGCGGGTGTCAACGAAAAGAAGATGTCTTAATTCTTTTTTTTTTTGAAGAGTGAGCGTCAGGAAGTGACAACTAAAAAAACAAAAAAAACATCAGAGTCTTCAGTCGTGGGCAATGTCTTACGAACGCTTTCTTCAGGAATATTGAACTTGTCCTTGCCCCCCTTACAGCTTGTGCGCACCGAATTTCTGGTAGTCAAGAACGCAAACAAAAAAAGAAATTAACAAACAGTGTGCACAGCACTTAGACCCCTGCTGTTAGTGTGAAATATGTTGCATATTTAAATACCATCTGTTCTCCAGTTGCAGTGGTCATTATTCGTATTATAAACAACGTTCTTTTCATGTTGTTAAAAAACGGGAGGTAAGTCTGTTTCGTCCCGATCATTTTGTGTGTCGCATCATCTGCCATACATTATCTGTATTGTTTATTGTTAAGTAGAGTCGATAAGTTCAAGTCGAGTCAGTTAGTCAACCACCATTCGCGTGATGTGGTATAGAGTGTATGGTAACCATGTTTTAGATGAAGTGCGTGTTTCAAGCGGACACACACAAACACCCACGCGTGCGCATACTTACATTCGTGCGTACACAAAGGTACTCGGGGAGCACAAGGGTGCGCTCGCAATCACACGCTTCAACACCGACTTTTTCAGGGACACAGGAAGTATCGATAGCAGACCTGAACAATCCCCTTAATTTGAAGGTGTCCAAGACAGGTGCGTATTTGAAACGACAATGTTCTGATTTCCGGTGTGCTTGCTGGCGCAGGCGGACGCCAAGATGGTATTTGACGTCGTTGCGCGTATGGAGGACACAGAGCCATTTTCTGAGGAACTGCTCAGCGCCATGAAGAGGCTATGGACAGACTCCGGGGTACAAGAGTGCTTTGGGCGCTCCAACGAGTACCAGCTCAATGATTCCGCCAAGTAGTGAGTATGGAGTTCTTATTAGGCGAAACAGCGCTCTCTTTTACAGGCATTGCTACCGCTTTCTATTGGATGAATTGTGCTACCACTGAGGCAGCAGCGTGGAGACAGAAAATTTACCATTTACCAAGCTTTCACAATACAAACAGTAATATTCTACTCAATTATGAAAAAAAAACGCTTTTGTCTCGTTCAAAAATCACAAACGAAAAGTGAGTAATGAATGTATATCTGAATCAGTAACAAGAACGATCTACTCAAGTTTGCATTTAGGAGTGGTTTTCGAATCAATTGATGAGCTATATAGGTGCACACAAAATTGGTGTTTCGCAAGTGATCCTGCATCTTTCATAGTTGTCTCACTCTACCCACTAAGCTGAACATATTTATGTAGGGCTCATTTTCAATGATTATTTTGCTTGAAACACCTTGTGGCACTGAGAATTTTCCGAAGGCCTGGTGTACTCTTCATTTCGATAATGTAGTTACGGGCGCCGAAGGATGCTGTGCCAATTCCCCCTGAAAACATTCACAAATGGCGTGATCCGGGCAGCCAGGATTGAGAAAAGTCCTTCGCAATGTTCATAGATTGTCGCGCTGCCTAGTGGAATTCAGGAGCGTCCTCTCGTGGATGATCAGTAGGCAGACGCTCCCAATGCCGCCTCGTTCGGTGAGGTGCTGCTAGCCGCAGTATTAACGTGTGAGCAAAAAACGAACACAAACCACTTTGTATTTTTCGTACATCAGTGAACATACCGGACCATCCATGATACGATAAATCTGAATTGTTCTTGCGAGAAGTTTTCGTGAAAATACGCGGCAACTCGCGCTTTCAATTATAGCTCACAGAGTACACATATCAGGTTCACGAGATTCGCTGCAGCCACTTCGGATAGTGTAATGTTAACGTCTGACCATTTATGTTCTAACTCTCCTTGTTTTACATGCATATAGCCTTCGTCAGTGCTTTTGTAGTGCATGAATTCCATAACATTCATTGTACGCAGAAAATAGCGCAGGCTCGCGATTTGCGTTTCTAAACCTTGGCATACGCTGCGCCACTTGTTTTTACGTTCGTTGATAGATGGCAGCACACTGCAAGTGATTCCTTTCTTGCCGGGTATTGGGGCGAAATGACCTCCGCACCCCCAGATAAGCGTGGTGAGTGACGCCGTCGGGTGTTATGCGTGGTGAATGACGCGTTGTTGGTGCCATCGAAGTCGTTTGGCGATTCCTCACATTGCTTTAAGCAGTGATGTTCAAAGAAGTCGTCTTGACGTCGAATATTTTTCACAGGACGTAGATGGTTGTCAACGTGCTGAGAGTAGCAGCGGCGATGAACGATCAGCTGCTAGCTCACGAGCAGTGAGTTGCACTTCAGGTTTCAGCGTGCGTAAATGTTTTGTCACGCTCATAAGTCACTTTGATTGTATTCATTGTATAATATCCTTCAGCGAGCTCAAAATAGAAGCATACTTTTTCTTGTGCATTGAATGTATCCCAATTACAGTGGATGTTACAGAGCACCGCATGCCGACAACACGCTTGCGCAGCGAAGCGAAATGGTTAGAGCAATGAAATATTTGGTTACGACTTCAGCCCACGCTAACTTTTTTCCTGCACTTCACTGGTGCCGTCCGAATGACGTTGTTGCGCAACAAACTTTCGCAATTTGAACGCTGCGAAAAGCGTACGCGTGTATTCGTTTCGTTATCCTATTTTCGATCACTCTGATGAAACCTGCAACATCGAAGTGCAGGGAATTGCGCACTGTTAGAGTCTGATCATGGCTATGACACAAGTGCTACTTAATGGAAAGTAAATGGTCACGTTCCATTGAAGAAGCAGCTACATGATTCTTTCAGCGCAAAAAATGACGGCGTAATATGTTTGCAAACAATCGCTACGAGAAACATTCTGTCCTGTGCAGCCGCGACGGCTTGCTATTCGCTAGTGGCCTACTACTGCGGGAAATCCGCCAGACAGGCTCGGCACAAATGATCTCGGAGTGCCGTTTAGTCATACGCGAATTCTGGTTCGCGCAGATTTCCGTAGCACGCACAGGATCACGCGAAGCATTGTTGATACACGGTAGATCAGCTGACACCCCCACCCTTTGCACTGTAGCGAGAAATGAAGTAGTGAACATTCAGCAGTTCCTATTGATTGGGAAAGTACTGTGGTTCGATATACATTCATTGGACGATCAAGAATTCCTCCGGTGAAAGCGGCACGGGTAGTACATCCGTGCGTCTTATCTTTTCTTATGTAAGTTCACGGGTTGATCATCTTTCTGCAACAATCTTGGATTGCACGGCGTGTCACCTATAGGCCGTAAGCATTACGAATATTTTCTCAGCTTCTTACTACTGTTTACCATGCTTTCAGTGAAAACTTTGCACGTGGTGTAGATTTGGAAAGCAGGTTGTTTCATTAGAACTGACAAGGACACGTTTTTGCGCTTGCTTCCGATAGTGTGGCGCACGTTCCTAATCCTTTCCGGGCATGAAGGCGCCAGTATTGGACACGCTGCGGCAGCCGTGATTGACGGGCCATGGTGCAAGTGATGGCGGGTGCCGTGGGCAGGTGTCAGGCGGTCATGGCGCGTTCGCTTCACTCTCGCTTCGTCGCCTTGGCAGCAGAGTTACTCGAAAGCGACTGCGTAATGGCTCTCCTCGTCATGTGTTATAGGGTGAAAAAAGGGGCCCCCGGTGGGTCGCTTCAGCAATGGCAGTGTGATTCCCGCTTTGCTCGCTAAAAGCCTCGCACGTTCTTTCTTCCTTGCCAATCAGCCCGGCAAAGATTGCCCATTTACGGCGAAGGAGACGCGCAGCGGCTCGGCGGCACGGCCTGCGTGACGTCACCTTGCTCTTCCCGAATGGTTCCTGGGAGCTCCTCTGTCAGCGACTGGGAAGAACGCCTCTGCCGAGCTAACTATAGCAAGCCAGGAATCCGAAGAGTCTGGTCGCAGGGAAGCCACAAAGTGGACGGCGCCGCCGGCTTGCGGTTTCCGCTACACTTGTTAGAGCGGTTCTGGGGAACAGAAAATAGCAGAAGGGGCTTTTATTCAAAGCCTGCCCCACTCGATCGATGATTGCGACGACCCAGGAGGGTGCTGTTTTAAAAAAGAGGCGGCGCGTGTTCTACTTTCGCTTTCTTTCTTTTTTCACGGGCTGTGAAGCGCGCCGCCGGAGCTTACAATGAACTCTGCCGCGGGACTTCCCGCTCTTCGGTGGCTTCCGTCGTTATGGCGGATTTCAATCGCATCGCTCTGGCAGAGTTTTCAACGAGAAAGAAATGAAGAGAAAGACCTTTTAGACGTATGATGATCGTCCTGGTCGTTATCATTCACGGGATTGTAGAAGTACGAAAAAAAAGTATATTGCACAAAGTACTCCGCGTGCCTCTGGGCGAGTTGAACAAGGTGCATCTCTAAAGACCATATAGATTTTTGGAATAAAAGATGTTCCATCTTCTTTTGCAAATCTCTAACGTACTGTTGGGGTTGATTGTAACGAAAATATTTACTTTTCGCCATCATTTTGGCTTTGCAATGAGAAAGAAAAAAAAATCGCTGAAAATACGTTGCGTCATACAAGTTTAAATTACACCCGGAAGTCACAAATTCACATAGCAAACCTGTAGCACTGAAAAAGTTGCTATGGTTGTAGACTGGCTTTGGCCAATGGAAGATGGGGAAACAGTAAAATCGGCAAAGTGTCTCTTTTTGATTGCATATGCATGCAGCAGAGCTTAGCATGGCGGACGTAGTTTCTACCGGGTTTCCCCTAAGCCTTAATACCAATAGCATCAGATGACGTATGTGACTGAGAAACTGAGTATTAAAAACTTTCCCAATAAATTTGTCTCCCCCTCTCTCATTCCCCAGTGCAGGGTAGCCTACCGAGGCTCAGCCGTGGTCAACTTCTCCGCCTTTCTTTTTATTCTTTCTCTCTCTCTAGTAATAAAAATTGAAAATAAAATAAAGCAAGAAAAAATGTAATAACCTTTCGCCTTTCATTTGCAGTCCCATCTCTATTGCGCGTGCAAGGACGGCGCGCAGCGGCGTGTTTATATACGCCCTATTTTTGTCAATGTAGCCAAGTTCAACTTGTTTCTTCACAAGCGGTGTCTTCTTTTTAGGTCACTGCAGGTGGGGCTTCGCGTGCAGTGAATACAGGCGATATGGTCAGCGACGTATGCCAGAATTCGATAAAGCCCATTTTCTGTGTTTATTATAACATCTAATTCATGCTTCAAGCACATGTCATGGCTATTGGTAGAAACTGCGGTCACAATAAGAGTGGGCAGTATGCAGGTGCTCTTGAGTTTTAAATAGATGCGGTAGCACATTAAATATGCGATGACTTTTTGCTGTCAACGTTCAAGAGGACACTTTGCCTACTGTTTAGGTAAAAAAGAGTAAAATCATAATTTCAACATTGAAAGACGGAAAGTTAAAAACGAAAAATAACGAGATGCCATGCAAAAAAAAAAAACAAAACAACGTGAACAGTGAAAAACAGCTCAACAAAAATTCTGGTAAATTGGGAATCTCGTTGAAATTAAGCGACAACTCGAGGAACTGAGGTGGGTGCTAACCAGGTGGTTTCTTCCACCAGGAAAGTACTGTGCGTAGGTGTCCGAAGCACCATGCACGTTTTCAGCTCGCGTGCTTCGCAAGAGTATTGAAGAACAAAATATCCACACAACACGACTTCGAACTATTGTTGTTGGCCCTTCAGGTTTCCTTCACCTGATTCGTACATATGTATCGCGAAATATTCGAACAGAGCGGAAGCAACTGTAGGCTAACTCCTCTCGTATGGTATAATAGCCCTCGTCTACGTAGCAGTGGTACCTTCTCAAAGAGCGTAACTGCGAATGTCTGTAACTGCCCCTTCACAGCGTAGCCTTTCGGTCATGACAGGAAACTAGTTTCAAACACACGCACTCGCCAGCCGAGCAGGCCCAGCATTCACGTTGTGCCTGTCGGTTGTCAT